TTCCAAAGACTTAAATTTCGACTCGGTGAAAGGTATGGTTGGTAACGTTCAACAAAATATTCCTTTGGTCGTCACCAATCCTTTCAAGATTACCAGGACACGTGACCGTCGCCTTTGCACGCGGTCGGAAGACAAACAGTATAAAGTGATTTATACGAAGAGATTCATTCACTTCAACGACAAAAATGAACCAACCAATACCTACCCTTATGGCTTTTGAAGAAAAAGTGAGAGAAAGGTGGTTGAGGCACAGAGTGGACTAGGATTATCTGCCCCATATAGAAGACCAACAGAAAGAGCAATGCATTGGCTGCCTCTACGACTAAGTTGACGTATTGGCTACGTTATATTGAACAATATTATACTGAAGATAAGATACAGCCTATCCAACACGTTGTCGCATATGATGCAGATGGATATGGTGTCAATTATTCCGATGAAACGGTTGTTTGCCAAGCTGCTGGTAAACCGTATACTCTCATGGTACCTAACAAAAAGTATTCTGTATACTTGAAACCTGTCTTCACTGATACTGCATACGACACAGCCAACGCTGGTCAATGGATTAATTATGGCCAAAGAAGAAACCGCTGGATGGAAATGACCAAACAGGCTGATAGTTTAATCAGTCACTCTCAAAATTGTTGGCAATTGTGGTTCTGGGGTGACGACACCAGTAAAGACTTCTCCTACCAGCTATCTTTTGCATTTTTAAGGCCGTAGTATGGGGCAAAAGTATGTACAACCAAACACTGTGGGATATCATCATACTGGTACAATTTAATGAATAAAGTTTACATAACCATTAATCAAGTATTCTTATATCCCATCTATCATCTGACAGCTTCGTTCTGTCTGGAAACCAATTAGCAAATACTATGACGTGAGGTATTCTATATCTCTTACATTTGCTTTGTTATCGTTCCATCGTAGTTCTTGAGGGTGAAACACCACCTCTTCGCTTGAGCCATTTTCAAACAGTAGTTTCGTATTGTATTACCTTAACCTACTGTCTCATCTCACTTTTTGTTTCAACTAATACTTTTTCCATTTCAGTATCTGCCGTCGGGCGTCTCTACGCAGCGTGGAGCGTCTACTTCTATACCCTTTTCCTTCATTCAGAATAATGAAACCACATTGTCCTTGCAGTTCAAGTACAATC